CCGACATTGTTCTTCTAGTCCAAACCTGCCATGACCAAAAAATACCATAAAATTGATCATTTCCTTTCACTTTTAAAGTGTATTGATCTTCAGTGCTACATGATCACCCTATTCCATGTGTTTATGAATGAAAATCTAATCTTGTTTTACTGAGATTTCTTTTAATTCTTATAAATGTGTTTTCTTCTTAATAAGATTCAAATGTTCGTATTAAATGGTATACAGACAAGGATTATAATTGAAAAACTACCCTTCAGATTAGGGAAGATGGGTACAGTATAGTTTAAAAAATACATTCCCACTTTTCAGATTATTGCTTTTAGAATATCTGCAGAAGACAAATTCAACCAAGGGCTTGAAAAAGGGGAAAACACTAAGAATTTGTTGAGCACCAAACTTAAAATATGGTGAACAAACTAGCTACTGCTGAATCTAAAATGCAATATTTTCTTTGAGTAACCTTTCTTTTATATCTATTTAAACATAACATTGAACCTTACGAGAGTGAGAAGAGGACATTCATTCCTTTCTATTAACATGTTTTTGAAAATTCCTAGGCATTGGTCCTTCTAGTTTCTGATGCCCTGATATCTTTGCTCACAGTCAGCAGTATTATCAACTGCATGATAAATTGTTCTATCACACACATTTTCTAGCCTCTGACAAATCATCTGTTTTAAATATATCTCAATATAATCTCAATGTTGTTCAGTAAAATTGTATTCAGGTGGCATTAATAGATATTTTTCATCCACTGGCATACAAGACACAAAATCAATGCAATTTCTGCTGTTACCACCAGAATTATTCTCAGAAAACCAATTCTGATATCAAAAAGATGGCTCTGAGTTCTGCATCCTTGGGAGGCTGTACAATGATAAGTTTGTTAGATGACCAGTCTACCCATTTGATTTAGCTTAGGGCACATACACATCTCTCTGGGGATATGTCATTCTGGAGGACCCTCAGTTATCCCCATTCAGAGAAAATGGATTAAAGAAAAGACTGCAACTACCACATCCAGTTTCTTCAATATCTTCTGCAGATCAACTTTCCACTCTCCTTCCTGAACTTATAAACATCCATCCTCAGGAAAAAGCAGACTACCATGAAATCCCAACTGAATTCATCTCTTCTAGGTGCTGAAAATTATTTATCATAGCAAAGATTCTCCATCTGTGCTGAGAATGAGAACTTTAAATAAATACTGATATCATTTAATTTTAACATATATATATAAATGCACACATACTGCACAGCACACAATACCACTATAAAATACAGAATCAGTATTTGAAGTGCCATACAAAAACAAAATCATAATAAAAAAGTAATAAAACATATACAAATCAGTAGTGCATTCAAAAATACCTTTACAGACACCAGTCTGTCTTCCACAATCTTGAGTGCATCTGTATATCACTATGATCAGCACAATGATGAACCAATGTGCACATTTCCCAACGGAAGTCGTATTACCTCTGTTTTTTTACCACTCAGTCCTGAGAGCAAATGATAGGAAAACCATGGACACTTTAGCTTCCATTCAAATTCTCATTGGGTGGCTCACAGGTCATGAAATTTTGGAGACCATATATTACATAAAAAGAATTCAAGGATTATAGAAGTCACTTAATTATGAGAATTCTAATGCTTTGCTACTATAATATTATTTTTTGTTTTGGTGGGTTTTTTTTGGTCTTTTTGAGACAGGGTCTCCCTGTAGTTCCAGCTGTCCTGGAACTCACCATGTAGACCAGGCTGGCCTTGAACTCACAGAGATCTGCCTGCCTCTGCCTCCCAAGTGTTAGGATTAAAGGCATGTGCCACCACGCCCGGCCTAATATCATTATTTTTATAGGCAGTTCTTTGACTAACATTAGATTTTAAAAATAAATTTAGGGACTTCTCTATTGATCTTTTGAGGGATGGCTCAATGATTAAGAGTGCTCATTGCTCTTTCAGAGGACCTGGTTTTGTTTGATACCTGCTGACCTCCACAGTCACTTGCATGCATGTGTACACATATATCCATACAGGTCCACACATAAACACATAAAATAAATAATAAATATTTAAAAAATACTCCAGCCAAGTCTAGAAGTGTTGCATATCAATTGCTGGATCAAGTTATTCTAAAAGATTAAAGAAGTGAATTAAAAACCATCAATAGTTGTTATTATTAACTGTGATTAGACTTATTTAAGCTCTAGATGCAATGAACCATCTCTAGCTGTCATTACAAAATATATTGCTCACATGTCTTTTTATAGTCCCCCTTCCCTGAGGATCTAGGACAAAGCCTTTCATAGAGTAAGCATTCAACAATTGTTGAATAAATTATTGCCATTTAATTCTCCTTTAATGAGACTAAGACCTTTAGGATAGGGCAGTTGTTTACATATTTGCATTAACTGACTTTCACTCTAACCGTCTTCCAAATTCTAATTACTCCTTATTTCTTTAAATCAGTGCTTATGAAATCAACCAAGTTAACGAAATACATCAAATATCAAAAAGGCCTTAGACGTGTGGGCCTGCCTCCCAGCAGCCTCACCAATGACCTTTCCCCTTACTCTCCATCTCCTCATTTAGTAATTTCTTGGTACTTACCTAACAGTAGTGGAGGAATATTTTGTTGATATTGCTAGTATTATAAGTTACTTAATATTCCCTGTTAAGGAAGCTTTCTTAGAATTTAAAATGCATCTTTCAGAGAATGGAAACATCAAAAAATTAAAATAAATCCCCATCCCTTTACATCTTGAAATCTGAAGCTCATTAATATCCCAGAAATGAGTTCTGAGTTTTCTGCTGACCTAATATAAGAAATCTATATTACCAGGAATCAGATCTTTCCATTCACTATATCACAGTTCCTTCATATTACATTCTGTTGGGTTTGTTAAGAGTTACTTAATTTATTTTGTGGTATCAATCTAGTCATAACCAACAAAAAGTTAGCCTTGTCAACATCCTAGATTTTGTGGATAAAATGTCCAAGTTCAAAGCCACCGGGTATTTAGAAGCATTTCCATAGTTCCTTTATCTTATCTTACTCAACATTCTGGCCTGTATGATATCAGAATTTCTGCTTATTGAAATTCTCAATGTAATTGATTACCTGGATGCATCTAATGTTTGTCATATCCATAGAGCTTCAAGTTTGAGTAATACATGGATGTGCTTATGAGCTTGTTTTGGCATCCTTCTGCAAACTGCCAAGGAGACTCAGAAACTGCATTAAAAAGACATTTGTCAGAAAGCTGGAGGAAAAGGAAAATCCTCTGCAGGCTATCTACCTAATTTCCAGCCAATATGGAGTTACTCCCAGTAGGAGTCGTGTATTGCTGTTACTGGCCTAAGTGATGAGGTTGTTAGCATCTCCAGGCTGACTACTCTGCAATCTAGCTGTTTTCATTTGTGGTAAAATGTTCTTAATAATCATATAGAACTTGTCCCACTTCATTTCTCTTAATATTGATCTCAGTGTCCCACAGGCAAGCTTATCCTCTCCTCCTTGAAACTTCAAATGAGTCAGAGTTACATGAGCCAGGTGTCTGGAAAAAAGGTTAGACTTGTCCACATTTTAGTCAGTCCACCAGAATTTCCACAATTTCTGCTCATTTAAATTCTTCCTTCTACAGCCACCACCCCAAATCCCGCACTGCACATAAATAGAAGCCCCATCCTAACTTCTACTACCTTATACACTCACAGTCAAGATCTGGTAGATTTAAAATGTGCAATTTCATGCTGAAGACATAAAACACTGCGATTGGTTTAATTTCTTTTATTGCTTTTTGGAACCCTGATGTCCATCTTAACTTCAGCTCTTGATAGCAAAAGACTGTTGAAAATCATGCGCGTATAATCAGTGAACAGAATTCTAAGTTGCTTCCTCACAGCTCTGCTGAAACTGAAATGAGATCCTGAGAAAATATTAGTAAGAAGAATGTGGGAAATGCAAAAGAACGTCACAGGCCACAACTTGAAAGCCAGACAGATGAAGGAATTTGAAATCTACTGATGAAACCCTGGAAAACCACCTGTTACTGTGACTGACTGCCCTAGTCACAACTCCCCTGATCAGAATTGCTTCAGAAACAATGCTTTGGGGCAAAAAAAAAAATAGCAAATTAATATGCTGAAATGTATTTGTATAGAGAGTCAAGTTTCTAATGGTTTTCTGTAAATGGTCCACCTCGCTATTCTAAAGAGCAAAAGCTAATCAAATAATTACAATTATATGCATGCATCAATAGAATAAGGTGTTATCAGTAACATAGCACAATGAATTAAATTTTATACTATAAATATTTCATATCAATTTGTTACCTAATTCTTTTCAGTACAATTGTAATATTGTTTAACAGCCCTTGAAGGCAGAGCTCTAATAATGTAATACTGAAGGAGCATTCTTCCTTTCCTAGTGCATTTGTAACAAATATGTGGCTCATGTGGGATCCTGCTCTTACTCTTTACTCTGTGTTGAGTACTCATTCCTAGGTACCTGACTTGGAACAATATGATAATAACAAGTGCTCAAAGCCAAATTATAAGATGAAATTATTCTTGCCCTGGTAGTACAGTAACAAGAACTTGCCATGAATTTGTGTAGGATGGGACACAGTAAAAGTTGGCCAACCTAAAAAGCCAGGCCCCAGGTCATCTTTATTACAAAACGTCAAGGAACACACCATTTAGGCTGACAACGGTGCTATAATTTTTGTATTTTTTTTTCTGTCACTTAAATAAAATTATTGAAGGAAGAAAAAGAAAGGAGCTTGCTTCCCAGAAAAGAGTTGAGTTTATCTGGTCTATGCATGATGGGCTTCTTTTTGAAAATTGGAAAATAAAATTACAGAAGTGGCCCAAATAATTCAGTTCAATTACTACATTTTAAAATATTTATTCTCTTTATCTTTTAATGTTGTTTTGTTTGTGCTTCCATGGCTAATTCATCCACTAACCTTCTGATATGGTTTCTCAATACACAGGTCGTCATGCAGATGGAGGTTATTGGCCAGTTGATACTAACTTGATTGATAGAAGCACTCTCAATGGTAAGTATATAAATTGGGTCCTATTGGATTAGTCACACTAATTACATGGTTAACTCTACAGTATCCAAGACAAATTTTCTAATGACAAGTGGCAAGTACCATGGGTTTAGGGCTTTACTGTGGTGATAAAAAAATGAAGTTATTAGCAAACTACACACATTATACTAGAAATGATGACAATTAGAGGTGACAGCGCATGAAAAAATAGAAAAATCCAAGCACCAAGCATTTCATAAATGATACAGATCTGTTAGATACCTATATTTGAAAATAAAATAGTATATTTCAAATGTTCACAACAACCCAATTTTACTGGAGAGGGAGATGATGGTGACAAAGGATTAAAACTGAAACCAACTGTTTCATAAATTAAATTCATCCAAAAGTACATTAGCTCTTTAATTCCACTAACATTTTATTGCTAATTTCCCTTCCTACTTTCTAGCTTAGGCATTTATTTCGCTCTTTCCAGTAAAGTTTTTCCACAGAGCTGTGGCCTCTGGGGAGGACCACATACAGGTATTATCATGTCATATGAACACTACAGAAATTTGTCCTCAGTTTGGCTGAAACAGTATCTTTGGAATGAAGAATTAGCAGTAGTCAAAGAACTAACATCATGTTTATAGTTGGAAATAATATTCCTCTTGCCTGATTTACTTTGCTAAAAACAAGTAAGATATTCAAAACAAAATAGGGACTATCTGCATAGCTACCTTCAACATAAATATACTCAGTTCCCAGCACAGAGTTGAATTTCCCCTGTCCATGCATGATCCCATATTTCTTTTCCATCGCCAGTCCTCTGACGTAAACACTTTTTTCAATTTGATGTTTACTAAGGCAACAATATAATAGTAATTATTTGCATGTTTATACATTTATAAAAAAATCACTTGCTCTTTAAATAATCTATATATCCTACAGTTCGCTTTTATTTCACATTTGTTTGTCTTTACCCATGTGTTTATATCTAGCTCTTGATCATTTTTCCTTGCTCACTGGTGTACAGTATTTTATTTTGTGAACTAACACAATTATCTAACTTTTCTAGTAGGTTTTTGTGGGAGATTTTATTAATGAACAGATAAATTTCCATTTGAGTAGTTTCTTATTAAACAGTCCAGCTGGGAAGCCAAAATTATTATTTAAATTTGTTTGCTGAGTGTGAAATTAGAATGAATAGGCAAGTTAAGGGATTACATCCTATCACATGCTATTATAACCATATGCATCAATTTCTCCAAGTAGTGTGTGTGTGTGTGTGTGTGTTTTAATAAATGCTTGAACCACTGTCCTCTGATCAGTGATAGAGTCACAAATGTTTCACTTGCTGACTTTTCAATTTGTACCCATACCTTTCTTATTTAAGCATAGACAAATATATTTCCTTTCATGTACATTTTGCATCCATTCCTGTTATTATAACAAAATACTTTATATTGGCTCATTTGTAAACCAAAGGAATTTGTTGCTTAAGGTTCTGGATGTCGGGAAGAAAGTCCAAGGTCATGGTTACTATTCTATGTTTCTGGTCAGGACTTATTCTCTGTTTCACAGATGGTGCCTTCTGTGTCCTCTTACAGTGGAAGGGATAGCTTGGTTCTCCCAGGCTTCTATCATGAGGACACTGATTCCAGCCAAGAAGGCTCTGCCTACATGACTTAATCACCACCTGTATTAGTTACTTTTCTATTGCTGTGATAAATCAAGGCATCTTAAGAAGAAAGAACTTATTGGGCTTATGTTTCCAGAGGGATAAGACTCCATCACAGCAGTGGAGACATGGCAAGACACAGGGAGCGGAAAGCTAAGAGCTCACATCTTCAAGCGCGTTTTCAAGAAGCAGAAACAGCAGAAATGGAAATGGGATGTGGTTGTGATTTTCAAGCCCGGCCCCCACTATTGTGATTGCTCTAGCAAGTTCATGCTTTCAGAACTAGTGCAAACACTGCCACCAACTGACCATGTGTTCAAGTGCTTGAGCCTATCAGGACCTCATTCAAACCACCACACCACTCGAAAGCCTCACTTCTTTGGGGGATTAGGTTTCAACATATGCATTAGGTGGGCTGGGTGGCAGTTATCCAAACTTTAGCAAATGCCTGAATATATATTGCAGCACCTCTCACTAAAGTTAAGTCCAGGATGCTTTCTCTAGGAGATCCACAGCTTCCCGTTGTTTCTCACATTTCTCTCCCTCATTTGCAGAATACTTGTTATAACCAATGCCTAGCTCTGGTGGTCTCTCGGTGTATACAACAGGCAGCGCTGGAGCACACAGCTAGGAAAGGGATGCTTTAGAACTGAAAACAGAACAATGACAGATTTACATAGGCAATGAACTGTGGGCAGAGACTGAAAAATGTGTGACCACAGGAGCAATAAACTAAGGGAAAGAATTACCCAGGTGAAAAGGAGGAAGCATTAAACTGCAAAGATGAATATAGTGAGAAGAATTCATGAAGATGCAGACCTTTTCTTAAAAGGTTATAATTGATATATATTTCTATCTCTTAAGATAGAAATAACATTCCTCCCCTTAGACCCACCTCACAGGGCCAGCAGTGAGTAAAGGTACTTACCACCAAGCCTGGTATCCTGGACTCTATCCCCAGGACCCTCATGGTAGAAGAACAGAGTTGACTCCAACAGGTGGTCCTCTGACTTGTACATGTGTGTACACACACTTCCCACACAAGCACAATAAATAAATCAATGTAAAAATATTTAGTTTCAGCCAACAGTTCCAATTGTGCCATGCTAATTATAAGAGGAGTTTCAGGTAGGAATCTATCTCCACTTATAGAATGAGCACAGGACAGGACTTTTAAAAGGACAGAGCACTAGAAAATTAAAGAAGCAATCTATGGATAATGGTGAAAGAATGCTCGTCCCCTCATATCTTTCAAGAACTATTAAGCAGTGGATGTAAATGTTGATGCTAGACCAGAAAAAATGAGGTACTCTACAAAACTACATGTCCTAAAGGACTCTAGTCTTTTAAAAGATATTTTGTTTATTATTATTATTTTATGTGTGTGTTTTGCAGGAATGTATGTAAGTACAGCATGTGTGTGAAATGCCCCTCAGAGACCAGAAGAGGGTGTCAGATCCCCTGGTACTGGAGTTATGGACCATTGTTAGCCATCATGTGGGTGTTGAGATCATACCCAAGACCAATGGAAGAACAGCAAGTGCTCTTAACCACTGAGCCATCTCTCCAGCCCCAAGGACCCCACTTTTGAATAATTTTGTTAATTTATCAACTGAAATTGTGATTTATTCACAACTGCCTAAGATTCAGATATAAATAAAATCTTTGCAGGAGACGTGAACGTGAATGTGTATATGCATATCAATGTATATGCCTAAGCACAAGGAATTATTTAAGCTTCTAGTACTTCTGATTTTTTTAGTTGCCAAATATTCTAATCCCAGGTTTGGGTCAAGTTTAATGTTTGGCTTTAGTATGTGAACTTGTCCTTTAAAATGAAATGAACTTTTGATTAAAAAGAAAACTCAAATTAAAATCTATATGAACATGTAAGTCAACAGAATGTTCCTTTTCAAAGGAATTAGACCACAGAGGAAGGAATGACAATAATTTGGAGAAATGCATGTCACTGTACATACTATTTAAACATTTTAGATTCTTAGTGAGACTGAAATCATAATTAAATTTGATATACTAAACATAACCTAATAGGGAAAATCCATAAAGACAAAGAACAAAATAGATAATGGAATACAGAGGCTTTCGCCAATTTACATAAATTGTCAACATTATCCCTCCCCAGTCTTCTCCAGCACTTCATGATGTTTTATAAATGTCATGTTAAGACAAATGATAAACCTGAAATGCTTCTAGATTCCCTATCAGAGTAAGAAAATATTGCATGGATTACAGTGAGCTAGAAACCTCAAGACACATGGATAGTGAAAGAAGTGCCTAATCTTTCCTCTACTATTTGTTACCAGGTGAATGATGATAAATATGTGGTTTAATTTCAGCCCTGCCTATTACAAATGAATCCAAAAAGGCCTCTGAGAAACAGCTTCCAATAATGTATTAAGGTTCTGAAAGAAGGTGTGCTGCAATTAGATGTGCACGTGACAAGCCTTGAAGGAACACTGCAGTTGCACATCCCCTTACAAAGAAGGCTGTGTCAACAAATACATCTTAAAAATTGAAATCTTAAACCTCTCATGTAATGAAATTCTATACATCTCCCTTAGAGTGACAGAATTATGGCATCTCCTAGCTCTTTCTAAATTTTCTGGGTTCATCCTTCAAAGCATTATAATAGAATAATGGCTTATTGTCAGGGTACTCAAGTCAGTTGCAAATAAATTTAGACCTTCCTAATCATTTACTTTCCATTTCAGTATGCTACCCTTTTAAAAACTCACTTTTGAAATTCAAATAAAAGAAAAGAAAGTTATAGTTCATGTTTACTTTTAGAATTGAAAGCTCTTAATTAAATTGTAGACTCTGAAGAGGCTTCCTAGATGTTTTCTGATGTCAGGTAAAATCAAAGCCGATATTTGATGATATGGTACTATTTCAATTTTATGATGATTTAATTTTAGATTATAGTCCACATTCTTCCTTAACAACTAAAAAGTCTTGAGCATCTAAAGCTATATTTTATATTTTGCATTTCTATGAATGATGACTATTATGGAAATTACTTCCTCTCAATCCTGTTTTTCACATTAGGAAACACCGGTTTCTATTTCCTGGTAGTTTTTCCTGGGATTTGCAAAAATCGGTTTGGTAAATTTGACAAAAATATCTATAAATCCCATAAAATCATTTTATTGACCTTAATTTTGATATAACATTAAGCTTGACATATTTTAATACTTTCATTTGTCATTGTTGATACACAGGCAAATTTGGGCTGGAGAAATAACTCAGCAGTTAAAAGTACTGGCTGCTCTTGCAGAAGCCCTGGGTTTCATTTCCAGTGCCCACATGGGAGCTAACAACCATTTGTAACCCCAATTCTAGGGGATCCAAGGTCTTCTTCTGACCTTTGTGGGCACTGTACTACGTGGGTGCACTAACATACAAGTTACTAATTAATTTAAAGTACTCAGAACCCTGTTGGTGTTCTTTGACTTTTGAAACCTACCTTACAGAATATATGTCAGTTAAAAGACCATGGCTTGGATGGCTATTTGAAAAACTATTTTTCTCAGGATGCAGTTATATAATTAACTACAAAAATGCACCCATAAAGTCTTCTATGTTTCTGTGACGTGGTTGTTCTGAGACTGGTAAACTATTAGAAGTAACTCAACAATATTCTCAGGAGATATTTTAATGCCAAAGAGAAAGTCCAGACATAAAGTTCTACACTCTCTCCCAGGCGCAATGATAACTGGAGTGACACGTACATCCGATTCTAGCATTTTGCTCATAGGAGTCTATGTTCACAACTCATCAAAGTGAAGTCCATCCCACAGTATTTTAAGCCTTCTAGTCTTACCGCAAATTCCAGGATTGAGAAATTTTTTTTTTTTCTGCTGTGTGACTAATGAAGGCACTCAAACTCTAGATTTTGGTTTTCCATTTGAACATAGAGTGTTAAGCTAGGCCTTCACCCTTTCTGGACCACAGCTCCTAAGTACTCTGATCTCAGGCAGTGAGATCTATATTTCCTTCTAATGTGGTTCAACCCTTTGACATAGTGAGATATATAATCAAATCCCAAAAAGCTGAGAATTCTTGTAGATTCATCTACAAGACAAAATGTATTTGCAACCTGCAAATGAATACTCATGGTGCTTTCGTTGCTCACAGACATGTCCAAATTCACAAAAACTTGGAATTGTACAAGGCATGTGTGTCCACCTGAGAAGCAAGGAAATGGTCTGCCTCCTTGCTTCCCATCTAAAGTAAATTCCCTTTGCGTGGTGTATTTAGTCTCACTGTTTTTCATTTATGTTCTTCATGTTAGAAGCATTGCTGTTTAAAATGATCCACAAATACAGAGAAGTGTTTTCTAGTTTATCTGAGCACATGATGTACTTACTGCAAAAATATATTATAAAGCTGTCTTCAATCACATATTATGTTGTTGGCTGTGAATTGAATCCTAATGAATCAGCATTGTGTCCTGAGATATCTTTAAGTAAAATACATGTAGTTCAAGATTATACATTTATTGGTTGATAAAAGTGTTGTGACCAGAATCTCACAGGCATCTAGCTCTGTTTTATCTCTGGAAGCAATAATAGTTCACTAATTTAGTATAAAGACAATACTGCATTTGACTCACTAACTTCTAATCTAGTATTTGATATTAGGAACATTTAGGGTTGGATTTGTGGATGAAAGACCTCCATTACAAAGTTTTAATCTGATGGTGTTTCTGAGACTAGAATTCAAACTGCATAGGAAGAATTCTTACACAGCTTACACTCATACCAAAAACCATCAGCATAGTCTCTCCCTGCTCAGCAGGATCCAGTCATTTATTCCTCACATAAAACATGATGGTCCTTGTATGGAAAGACACTGAAATAATTCCAGTTTATCAGGTGTTTTTAATTTTTTCATGAGGCATGTTCTCCTGTGTGTTTCAAACTAAGTTTATCAAACTGTTGAGTCATCTATAGGATGCTGAACCACCTTCCATATGACTCTCATATGAAATGTTAATTTATTGCAATCAATTATTTTAGTAACACAGAAATCGTATATTAAAGTGTTACTGTAGTAGTGGGTAGGATGGTTCAGCAGGTAAGGGTGCTTGACACCAAGCCTGATGACCCGAGTTCCATGTCTAGGACCCACATGGTAGAAGGAGAGAACAGACTTCTGCAAGTTGTCCTCTGATCCCCACTCTTGAACCTTGCTGTGTACCCTCAAAACAAACACCCACAAAAATATTTAAAATGTAATTTTTTAAAGAATGATGTCACTATAAAATAACTTTTTCAAATAAGTGAATCTATGATACAGAATGTTCTGAACTTTTGTTACTTGTTCATTTCTCTTTCCCAGCTTCAAGGCTGCCCAAATTAGCAAAAATTTTTCACCTTTCTTATAAAGTTTAAGCAGTAGTGACCACCAAGCCCTAAACCTACATCCCTTATGCTGTTTTTTTTTTTTCCCAGAGCCACCCATTGGACAAATGCACCCCCCACATGGCAGCGTCACCCCTCAGAAGAACAGCAACCTGCTTGTGATTACCGTGGTCACCGTGGGCATCATCACAGTTCTGGTGGTGGCGATTGTTGCTGTGATTTGTACACGGCGCTCTTCAGTTCAGCAGAAAAAGTGAGTAACATCTGACTCCCAAGAGGAAGAAAGTCACCTCCTTCTTGGGTGACATTCTTGAGGGCTCCTTTACTGTTCTTTCATGATGCACCACAGGACCCTTGTTGTTTGACCCTGGCTAAAATAGCTTTGGTCTATTCCAAAAATATAATTAAGTTACAGCAAGATTTGCAGATCTTACAACACAATCCCTGAAGACTCTCTTACATTTCTTTGCTCTTGCTTCTCAGGGCCAGATTCTTCTGTAAAGCACCCTTGGGGAGCGGACTCATCAGGTGTCTGCTCCAGCCCTCTTAGCACTTCATTAGACAGTTGGAGTCACTGTTCCTTCTTGGTACTTATTTCTTACTTTGGGCAGGGACATCTGCAGACAGGTAATGGATGCTTGCTGAATGGATGACTAAATATAATGTTTCAAACTCAATATCATCTCTGAGGCTGTAGGAAAGAAAGGCAATTCCAGAGGTTTGAAAATGTTCATATTTCCTGACTATGCTAAATTGTCAGAAACCAACATGGTTAATAAGTTTTAAAATAATTTAGTATTATGCAGTTCTTGGTTCTATTGTTACAGAGAATGTTGCACCAAAATACAAAGTTTAGAATGAAAACATTGAGCACAGCTCCATCTCCTCCAGCAGCATGGAAGAACCAGCACATTTGCCCGAGTCTGCCAGTTCTGGGACTTGCCTGTGTTCTCCTGGCCATCTGACTTCCTAGCCCTCGTCAAATCCAATCTGACATGTATTTCTATGTTTCATCTCTCACTGGACTGACTGTCTTTTGTTCTGTTCTGTTTTGTTTTGTTTCTGGCCTCAGGCTTGTGCTTCCTCTGAAAGCCTGAGGTATACACCCAGAAGAGGCTGTTTTGACAGCTGTTCACTATGCTTGTTGCTGAACATAGATTCTCTAGCAAGTCTCTTTCCTTCTCTTTTTGCTATTAGCGTTAACCTCTTTTACAAATCCTTTATCTCTGCGGATCTCTAGTGTGTGTCCCCCCCCCCCAGTACTCTGTGTGGAAACAAAATGAAGAGCTATAAACCAGAGAAAGCACTAAAGTGGTACAGAGGCAATCTGCACATTTAATTTATATCTGGTAGAGGAAGAGAGGCAATGTATGCATTTAATTTATATTTGCTTTATATGGAATTGTAGTATTTTGAAGCTGGCAAGGTCTCCTGTGCCTACATGAGAAATCCGAAGGCATCAACCTAACAAGGTGAGCCTCAGATGTCAACCTTGTCAAAAAGGATTGCCACTCAGGGTTCCTGAGTGCTTAATAAATCTCAGCGATAAGAACTAATTGAGTGAATGTTTAGTTTATTGCTATAACAAAATATCTGAAGCTGGATCACTTATCAAGAATATAGATTTATTCTAGACTCAAAGTTCTGGCAGTCCATGAGCAGAGCATGGCACTGGCACATGATGAGCTAATGATGAATGTCACCTGCTGCTGCCTTATGCAAGATGACAAAGCAGAGGAGCAAGAAGGTTCATCTAGAATAGATGTGTGAGAAGAAAGGCAGCAAGCCATGAGAGACAGCCTTGGTTGAAACAACCCATTTTCATGATAAAAGCCCCCCGATCTTGTCAACATTGTTACCTTGGGTTCAGTCACAATGTGCGTTCTGTTAATATAAACCATATTCCAACTACAGCAATAAGACCTTGAAGAGTCTGTTGGTCCAGCAATCCTAAGAAAAGTTGTTCAAACTTGGTATGGTGTAGTATTGAGTCATGTGGTATATCATACAGATCTGAGGAGAATTCACATGAAGAGAAGAGGAAGCAGAACACCAAAACAATGCGTGGGTGTCAAAACATCGGCACCTTCATTAAGCTCCCTAAAACTAAGTACACCATCTGCTCTGGGCTTGGCTTTTCAGTTTTGCTTTCTTTCCTCACCGCTATCACTATGACAAGAATGTTTGATGGTTTTTAACTGATGAGCTATATTCTTGGACAAATATTGCTTTCCTCCAGGAAAAATGTCAATTTTCTCAAGGCCCAAAAGTGAAACATAATACTCTACTAAGAATATCTCAAATCATCTGGATCATACAAGAAGCTCTTTGGTATAATAAGAGCTTAACAGTTTTATCTGGAAACAATCGAGAATGCTCTGGATATAACTAGTTAATAAATAAGAGAATGAACAGACAAAAGATCCTACAGATGACTAAAGCCCAACAAATTTAAACTTTGGTTTATTTTCCTCTACCCCCGAAGTCTCCCAATATTTACTGATCATGTTTTCACTTCCTCTCTTGTCACCTGAGAAAGACTCATTGACCTTCATTTTGCTCCCTAATTGAATAAGTTATCAGGGAGAAGGAAAATTCTTTTTTTGCATTTGTTTCTGACTTTTTTTTTCCTTGAGTTCATTGAAGACCTTGCTTTACACAATCACCACCATGGAGGCATCGGGCCCAATTCAGTAATACAGATAGAGGCAAAATCAACTCCCGACTGAAAGTAGATAAGCTTCTGTACTGAGCTCTTGGAAAAGGAGAGCTCAATGCACTTAGCAATGTGAAGGAAGAAACACACCCAGGGCTTCTTCTCTATCTCTGTGTCTGAGACAGCTAGAGAATGAAGTGTTCTTTGTGTTTTGTTAGGGAACTCAAATTATTACATCCAAGTGGACAGGAAAATTAAGATCATGTTGTGGATTAGCAAGGAAGGCTAGAATTTTGTCAGATCCCTTGGAGCTGGAGTTATGGACATTGGCCAGCCATTGATGTGAGTGACAGGATGCAAACTTCCATCATCCGTTAGAGCAGTAAGCACATGTAACAAATGAAACAACTCTCCATTCCTGATTAAGATTTTTTATCAACTATCAGTAATTTTTGTTTAAATTAATGCATATGCTTCTATTATTAAACATACTTAGTAATGATGTAAGCTACCTATTTGACTCACAGTTTAGTGTCTAAAATTCATGTTTAGTGCAGAAAATAGCTTACCAAAATTTGCACTTAAGTTCTACTCATAATCCTGCCATTATATCTTTTATTCAAACAATTGTGTCATACAAGGGTAAACCCTTAATCCCTGAGTGACAGTTTCTTCACATATAAGAATTAGAATGAAATACTTTGTACTTTACCTTTTAATTTATAAACACAGAAATTATAAATAGAATACTACCAAATTATAAACACATGGCAACCTGTAGCTTTAAAGTAGTGTGAAATAAAAATAATTTTGATAATTTAGTTGTATAACTAATAGGAGAATCCCCTTATACATTTTCAACTAGTGAGGCTACAGTAGAATGAAATGTCAGAGAAGAGTTGCATTTTTGTTTATTTGGTTTTTGAGACAGGGTCTCCCTGTAGCCCCAGCTGGCCTGGAACTCAAAATGTAGACAGACTGGCCTAGATCTCACAGATATCTGGCTGCCTCTGCTTCCTGAGTGCTGGGATTAAAGGCATGTGCCACCATGCCAGGCAGAGTAAAGTTTTATGAAAACAAAGTCAGTGGATATTTCACTTTGTTTTTTCATAAAGTATGACCATTTTCTGATGAACACAAAGATCACAGTCTGTTAAGTTAGAATCTGGATATACATAACAAAGAAATATTTAATATTGAACCTTTCTCAAAAATTTAAGTACATGATTATCACATTTCTAAAAGTTATCTGAGTAGAGAATTAGCAATGTTTTCTCAATACATTAAGTTAAAATATGGAAACAAAACCACATCCCTTGATAGAATCATTAATTGGCTAAACCTTATATTTGACCTGACAAGTGTACTGCAAGTTTTTAAAGATCAGCACACATCTGAATCTTGACAAAAATGATTATTTTCAGTACTGAAGATAAAATGTATAAAGTCGCAAATGAAGACTACTGTATTTTAACTTCTGTGGGTGACTTTATCTGATTTTCAACTCTTTAACATTTTAATTGTTTTCCATAGTCACATCGTAAGAAGTTTAACTGGCAGTTTCTTAGGACTTTAAAGTAAATTTAACTCCACCTTGGAAAATGCACGTATCGTATTAGAATTCGCTCTGTGTTGCTAAGACAAAGTTTTTTTAATTTTATTTTTAATAGCTATAATCAAATAAAAATAACATGAAGGAGGAAGAAGGGAAAGTATTTATGGTTTCCATTGTATCTTTCCCTGGATACTCTGTGTATGCCCTCACTTACGTCAGACCTCCTTGTCTCCTGATGCCTTCTCCAGACATAAGTGGGAGACGGTACTGCCTTACCATCCCACAGACCTTCAACAGGTCTTTGACCGTGGAATTAGTGCATGGCTGTTTGTCTCTGGTGAAAATTTGAACAAAATGTATTATTATATTGTGGGAAAGAATCTAGGAGAGGGCAGCAGTGCTTTAGAACTTCACTGTATGCCGTCTTATGACACTCTAAATGAACGCTCAACCAGTGTTGCTTCCAATCCACTCACGTGCCCAACAAGCTCATGAAAATAAAAATAAAAACTATGCTTATAAAATAGGTTGTGTTCAAAGTAAGGAATAGGTAGAACAAAATGAAGCCAGTGAAAAGAAGCTAAAAAAAAAAATAAAACCTTTTCATTCAGTTTTGGCAATCATTGCATGCATACCATATGATTGGTGTCATGCAATTAATAAATGTGATTAGTGCTAACACTTTAGATAAAACCATTTCTGCAATTACCCACTTATTTCATGATTTTATTCAAAATATTCCTGATGGAGCAAGGCCTCCCATGATTTGAACCCCTCTACCTTTAATCCTTTAATCTGTACCATATTCCGATACATTCTTCTTACTCAACAATGCAGAAATTCCCAGTAGCCCTGCCACTTTTCATTCATTGATTAAGCCACCAATGTCTCAGTATCTTTGTATTTGTGATACTTAGCACATTTCTTGACACATGGTCAATATTTCATAAATGTCCACTGAATGAATAAATGAATTAATATTGTGAAACATTGGAGAAAGCTGAAGAAGTGAACGTAATGATTAGCCTAGTATTGCTGAAGAATTCTATTATGACAGAGGAAGCGGTCAGACAGCTCAATCAGCTACATGACACTCAGTGCCTAGACGAGAGGCAGAAAAAAAGGGGAATGACTTAGATCATCTAAGACTCCATGCCCCTAAAAGAGTAGGAAGGCTCCCTGAAGAAGAGACAAATGAAGGGAGCCTTGGAGAACAAGCAGATTGGAAGTAAACAAGATCACAAAAGTATTTGGTGCAGAAGTTAAACAAACAAACAAAAAAACCAAAACAAAGATATAATCGAATACCAGGACTGTATTATACTAGGAAAACTTTGCCGGGCACAAGTAGGAGAAATCAGAAGGCCTTGGAAAATGCTTTGCTTTGCCTTGGTTTGATAGTACACAACACAGGAAGAAATGTCCCCATTTTAAAGCTATTTATTGAAAGAAAAAATAGAGTTCCCTGTGGGAAATGATAATGTTTGCATTATGAAGAGAAGTTAAATATAATGGAATATTCTTTACTCAATATAAGTACTAGCTTTAAAATAAAAACAAACAAAAAATAAATCACTAGATGATATTTTACATTCATTAGATTCCCTTGGAAAGCTATGAAAACACAGATTGCTTTTATACCTCCACACAGGCTTCTGGTTCAGTGGTTCTGAGGAGGGTGGCTCATAAGTGCATGCATTCCTGACAAGTTCACAGGTCAGCCTCTGGCCCTGGCCCAGGAGATACAGAGAAACAGTACACTAGGTGCATCTGCATGCACGTTTTGAAGAGTCTAGCCCTGAGACAGAGGAACTGAGTGCGACAATAGAAGTAACCTTTAAGTTAGGAAAACAACAGGTGGGTTGAAGGTCAGGGTGACAACTGCCTCTTTTAGGTTTTTAAGATAAATTTCAGAAAATTTAGTCATGAACACCTGTTGGGTTTATCGCACACCTGGTACAATGTATTGTAGAGACGGGAGTCGAGTTCTCCAAGCCAAAGTTCCTCTCTTAAAAAAAAAAAAAAAAAAAAGAGAGATTATAGCTGATGTGGTAGTGCAATGCCTTTAATTCCAGCACTTGGGAGGCAGAGTCAGGTGAATCTCTGTGAGTTCAAGAGGCCAGCCTGGACTACATAGCAAGTTCCAGGCTAGCTGAGGCTATAGGATGACCCTGACTCAAAAAGACCAAAAAAAAGAGAAGAAATTATAGGAAAAAGAGTGGCTAAATGGTCTCTAATAAAATATATGTAAATAAGGAATAAAGTCTTTTTAGCAATCTGCAGGATTTCAGTGGCATTCAACAGGTAGGGTAAGAAGCTTCATAGAAAAATATCTGGAGCAAGAATCCATAAGAAAAACAAATCTGCATTATACTGGGAATCAAAAATCTCTTCCCAGAGAAGTTGTGATCACAACCTCTATAAAGCTATTGCTGGATTTGGAACTTTTTAAAATAGGAGCTACTTGGTAATGCTTGGCCAAGGAATAGTGTGGGTCCTGGCAAATGAATGTGTGAACAAGACAGGCACACAAGCATGAGGAAACAAGAATTCAGCATTCATTACTTATTTTCAAAAAGGAGAGAGGTTGTGTGTGTATGTGTATGTGTGTGTGTGTGTGTGTGTGTGTCTGTGTGTCTGTGTGTCTGTGTGTTTGTGTGTATCTATATGTCTGTGTTTGTTTCTTGAGACAGAGTTTCAATTTTAGCTCAAGTTGGCTTGGCATTCCCTGTGTAGCCTAGACTGCTCCCAAACTCACAGCAGTCCTTCTGACTCTGCCTCCCAAATGCTGGAATTACCAGTCTGATCCAACATACTTGTCTTTTTCATAAAAATGGGGGTTTTTAAAGATCAAATTTTATTTTTGCTTGTATTTGATCCATATTTTTTCCATGGGCTATTTCAATATTAAACTATGATGAAGTTTGTCATCCTGCAGATGGGACATGGCATTTCCGCATGTACCATCACAGAGATGCTGGGGTTATTTAGCATTTTGGTCTGGAAGAAAGAGAGATAAGATGGTGAAATCACTAACTTTAACAAAAATAAATTCTATAACTTCATCTGGGGCAGGTGGCAGAGCTAGCCCTGTGAGAATTGCAGATCTGTTGAAGAGAGCAGGTGATATGTAGGAAGATGTGGGAGCCAGGCATGAATTATCTCAGACAGAAGAAAACCATCTAGGAGTTAGTTTTGACCGTTCTCTGAGACAATGTAGAATTGCTGTCACGATATCAGCAAAGTACAGGCAGTAGTTGAAAAATATTAGAGCAGCAAACACATTATTTCTCTACTCAGCAACAAAACAACTATTAAGTCTGGAGGTCTTTGTCTCCTGTCCTCATCAGTATGCTTCAGAAAGACCCAGAAGAATGCTGGAAAAATTCAACAAACTGTACCACCAAACATCAATTGCCAAATATTTGCAAAGCTGCTAATCCAGTAATTGGGAAGACAGAGGCACTCCCAATAGCTTTGCATAGGTTGCAAAGTTTTTCATTAAGATTAGCTTGTTTGGTCACTGAGGAAATGGCTCATTCAATAAAGTTCTTGCCACACAAGCATGAAGGCTTCAGTTAAATCCTTAAGACATATGTAAAAATCCAGGCATGGTGATATAAGCTTATCAACCCATCTATGGGGAAGTATAGCCAGGAGGATCCCTGGGGCTTGGTGGCAAGCTTGCCTAGCCTGATTGGTGATTTTCAGGTGCCTGACTCAACAAACAAGGGAACAAGGTGGACAGCTTCTGAGGAATGACACCCAAGATGACTGGCATCTGGCCTACACACACACACACACACACACACACACACACACACACACTTTTACATACACACTCACACATACACAGTGTGAGAAAGAGACAGAGACAGAAGGGAGTGAGAGATTAGTTTAGTCTGCTGAAAGCAGTTTTCATAGTGAAGTGGTCATGGTGAATAAGGATAATGGGAAATACATGTTCTTAAGAACTTCTCTCAGAGCTAGTCTTCAACTGTTTGCTATAAGAGGCATTATTGTTTTAAAAGAAATGGAACATCAGACGTGGTAGCTCAAGGTTTTAATCCCAACACTTGGGAGGCAGAGGCAGGTGAATCTCTGTGAGATCAAGGCCAGCCTGGTCCATATAGTGACTTCCTGGTGGGCTGAAACCCTGTCAAAAAACAAAAGATCAAACAAATAAATTTTGAAACGGAAAAATGGAAACTGCAAGTAAAGACTAAAACTTAAAAAAATGGGCAACAGGGCTCAAAACTGCTTCTGAAAAGAGTCATATCATAAACATAGTTTAGGATTTTCAACAGTCTATCACAGCTAATCGTTCTGCCTTTGCAGGGCAAAACCCAACGAACCTGGCAGTATCCCAATAAAACTTTATTTACAAAAACAGGCTGTGGGCAGATTTGGACTGTGAACCATAGTTTTGTGATGCCCTGTGGTAGAGAATGGATAGACTAGGCACCGTGCTACCTTATTTAGCATGTGGAGAGCGTTTGAATCTCAGTATCCTTGAGAAGTGAGTACCAACCACCCCACCCCCCCCGCCCCGCAAAAAAAATTGTGATTGCTAAATCCTTACTGAGGCAAATAAGCAGCGACTGAAGCACATTTGCAAAGAAGGGCTCTTTCTTTTTCTATTTTCAAAAGATAACTCTCATTGTGTTTGAATCCAGATGCTCAGTGACTCCAAGGCAAAGTATTTTATTCACCTAAGAATGTCCTCATGTGGCCTTTTGTTTTCAAATAGCAAGCGTCCCAGTTGCACATTAAATTATACAGCTGAGGCATAGACTTTCTTCTAAGCTCTGATCTTAGCTGCTGGCACAAATTCTGGCCTTTTTATTTCTATCTGCCCTTTCAAAATTACTCCTCCATTTATCTCCGAAACAGATGTTGCAGTCAGCTACCTTATGCCTACCTCCGAAGAATGGCATATGGCTCCATCTAACCCATTGTCACCTTGTGCATGAATCTCCAGTCTGTGAAGCTGGAGGAAGGTGTTTCTGGCAGGCAGCCGGGGCTCTGGGGATTCAGGACATCTCCTAGAATGTACTGACGCTCCAGGGGGAGAAGCGGAAAGGCAGCCAAGAGAAGTCTGCCAATTTGGGGGTTTCACTAGATTCCTGCTGGGAGTTCCTTTGTTTCATTCCCTGCTTCCAACTTGAATTGACTGAAGAAAGAAAACAAGCACCTTGAATAGAGGCGCTCACACTTGCCTTCTCTATTCCCTAGGAAACGGGCCACCCACAGTGTGGGCAAAAGGAAGGGCAGTCAGAAGGACCTTAGACCCCCTGACCTTTGGATCCATCATGAAGAAATGGAAATGAAAAATATTGAGAAACCTGCAGGACCTGACCCTTCAGGAAGGGATTCCCCTATCCAGAGCTGCCAGGACCTCACGCCAGTCAGCCACAGCCAGTCAGAAACACAAATGGGGAGCAAAAGCACTTCGCATTCAGGTAATGATCCCAGGAGCACCAGGGAAGCTCAAAAGGGCAGTTTCCACTCCTTCTTTTGTGGAGATATTCTCCTAATAATTTAGTCCACTTGGTGTTATCAGTAATTAAACTATAAATTCGACTATAAATTTGGTTGATAAACTCATTTTGCATTATCTTGTTGTCTGTTTTCCCTAATTCTTACAATTCTTGAAGTTTTTAGAAGTTTACAAGTAATGCAACTAGGAAATAGTGAAATTAGAAGCTTAGTTAAAATGATGATTCTTCCTTAAATCGTGAACAACAGTGTTGTCAAAATAATAAAGTTTCGTTCTATCAATAAATTTTCCACTTCTAAATCTCTATAGATCATTGAAAGTTGATTCTAAATTTGTTATCAGCTGTTTGTTTGTTTGTTTGTTTGTTTTTTAAATAAGATTGGAAGCACCAGAAGAATGAAAAATAAATTGTATTATTTTTGGCTTTCATTACTGTGGAGATCAACTGTCCTTTCTAGAGAGTCACATTACATGATATCTGATTGGTCACGGTCATTTGAAAGTTATTGATATATAAAGGAACCCGAAGGAAATGCCAGTTGTTCAATGAATTGAAGCACAGTAATCATTGATATCCAAGAATCACTAAGAATTCAATAAAGTAGTTCTAAGATATGCCATGTTCTGGAGTTCCTATTATCTATGGGAAGTAGAAAGATTTATAAAATACTTACTTAAAAAGTTCCTGGTCTACTCTTTATAAAGTCAAATAAATAGGTAAGTCATTTGAATACAAGTGATTTACAGAACTTTGTTATTTAAGAATTTCATAAACAAGGATTACAGTTACTGATTTTTGAGCTTGAGTTGCTGAATATCCCTTATCTAGTCTTTAAACGGTATCTCTAGCACATTCAAGAGCAGTCTAGTCTTACTGAAAACCATAATCTAAAAATTTAAAAATTCTCCATAAACTTCTTCATTGCTGGCTAGACTTTTGGATATGGAAACTAGGGCTTATACTTTGTATTTTAAACCTCCAAATGCAGTGGAGTTCTGGAGTTGGTTAGAAGGGTCACTGTCTGTTTCACAATCATCTTCCTATCTGTCCTCCATGTAGTAGTCAGGTTTCCATTACTACAAGCATATAACTGAAGTAACTGAACTATAAAGAGTAAACGGTTATTTTGGATCACAGTTTCAGAGGTTGTGGTCCATGGCAACCTAATCCCATTGTCTTGGGCCCATCCAACATAGTAGGAAAGCATAGCAGAGGAGTCCTGTTCACCTCATGCCAGTCAGGAAATGAGATAGCTCAAAGCAAGAAGGGACTAGGTTCCCAAAAATCAACCCTAAGGTTATGCTCCAAATGGCCTAACTTCCTTCTAATAGGTTCCACCTCCTGAAGTTTCTACCAGAGGCCAGTTACACCACAGACTGGTATACATGCCCCTTTGAATAACAATTAAGAACTGAACCACAGGGGCTGGAGTGATGGCTCAGTGGTTAAGAGCACTGGCTGTTCTTGCAGAGGACCCAGGTTCAATTCCCAGCACCCACATGGTAGCTAACAACAATCTGTAATTCCAACTCCATGGTATCCAATGCCCTCTTCTGGCCTCTTTGAACATTGTACAACATGGGTGCACATACATACATGCAGACAGTATGCTCATACACATAAAATAAAAATAATAAATAAAATAATGTTACTAATAAAAATGAAACCACAGAACTTTATCTCGCTACTCTTCTGGGGCATTTGAGAGAAAGGAAATATCAAAAAGAAGAATTGGACAAGAAACAAAATAAACTCTTGGAATTATTCACTGCTTTCCTCCATAGGAGTTAGCTCCTGAGTAGCATCCAAATACTGAGTCTCCAGTGATGCACAAGTATGAACTCCTTACATGCTCCTGGGGAAACCCTCCATTGCCTGATTCCATGCTATGAGAAATCACATCAAGGATCTCCCTGCCACACTATGAGGTCTTTTTACTGTATTACAGTACTTGAGTAGTTGCAGCAAGAGAAATCAACCCTGACTGACTTTCTGTGCAAACACCCACTTGGTCCGAAGGAAGCTCCCACATTCTTGCCAAGCTCAGCTGTAGGGGATCTTGTATTCCACTGACCTCTACAGGCCTGATCTTTTCAGTTATCTTTCCCTCTACTTAGATAGACACAAGGTAGGCACAAGCCTCCTACTTGAAAAAACATCCATCTGCATAATGAAAAGAAGCAAATCTCTTTCAGGAACTTCCATACTTTTCATGGGATGTGTTTTGCAACTTAATTCTAGATGACATTGACACCAGGAACAGCAGGGCATCTCTGCCTCCCAGTGGAGAAGTTGCCTCTCTGTCATCAGACGTTTTTGCCAATGACTTTTGAGACAATTCATTTTCCTTTATCTTTATATACTAAGAAGACACTCAGAGCAGCAAGTTTTATCTCTCTCAGTAAATTCTAAGGGAGGCTGAACCCCAATAATGTCTGTTTGCTTTAGAATGGGAGAAAATTCCTGTCTATTTGTCCTCAACCTGAGAATGCAGTTGCCTACAGGGAAGAGAGCCTTTGGTTTGGTCTCTGTTTTCACTTTTCCTTTTTCTAATGCTTTAAAAAAAATACTGGGTCTCACGTGCCCAAAGCTAGCCTCAAAATCCTTTTGTCACCAAAGGTCTTCAATGCTTCTGCTTCCCAAGGGTTGTGATAACAAGTGTCTGCCACCATGCCTAATGTTAGAGTTTCTGAGTAGGCAATAGCTGTGTAAGAAAGGATTACAATATGTTGTGTGTTTGACAGTTTCATATGATATCTTTTATCTTATTTAAGATATTCCTTTCAAAATATTTTGAGATAGGTGTTATCATTCTCCTTATAAAATAAACGAAGTGATGAAGTAACTGACTACAGTTTTCATAGTTCATACTATAGATTACATTGTTACTGTGTAGTTATCCATCTAGGACTCAAAACCTTTCTGACACTAAAATCCATATTTCAGTGACTTAATTTCAATATTTATTTGATAATTTTATAGAAGGTAGTAGTTTTCTCATAAAATTAGTTCTATATAATCTAGATCATCTAGAAATTCACATGCAATATTTGCACTTTAGCTATAGAAAAGATAAGTGGATTAATGATTAGTTGAATTAATATGAAATATATTTCATTAAATAAAAGTTACTTTTGCCTTTTCAAATTTCCTCTTTCCTTTGTGCTTTAGTATGCACTGGACTTACACAAAGCTTCCTGTTCTCCAACCTCCAGAATCCTAATGAAATAACTAATAGTGACTAACTTGATAAAAGGCATATTTTAATGACAATTCTCTTCTAAATATAATGTGTTTCAAAATTCTTCTTCACTTAAAAATTCACAAAAGAGAAAGAATGGCCAAGAGTTCAGGTCTGTTTTGTCTCCACTATTTATAAATAGAATTTGCTTTCTGAAAATAAAGCTTACTATAATACCAGTACAAAAAAAAAAGAATTAAAAACAGATGGTTTGGTTCCTTTCATTTCTCAAACATGAACAAGTAAATTTCAACATTATGATGTTTGGTTATGCAACTTGATTTAAAAAGACAATCCATTTAATGAATAATATCTTTTAAAATCTTAACACCAAATTGCCAATTTAATTGAATACTTAACTTTTATTATTTATTTTTAATTTTCTGTATGTTGACAATTTTGTATAAATTCCCCAGCCCATTTAGACCAATGCTGAAAAATATCCTTCTTCTCCTTAAGAGACCCAGAAAATGTTGCTATCTGCTTCTTCCTGTATATGTGCTACTGAGATGTCCATGTGTTAACAAGCTCAGTACTTGGCGTTCTTGGAAAGAGAAGGAATCTTTAGGAGGCAGAGCCTAGAGGACAGATGTCTTTAGGTCATTAGGGACAAATCTTCCAAAGGGAATGTTGGACTCTGGGCTGCTCCTTTCTCTCTTTCACCTCTAGCTATGTGGTGACTGGTTTGCTCTACCACATGCTTCCACAATGATGCTCAGCCTATCCAAAAGCCAAAATCAACAAGAAAATCAATTATGAATTGAGCATCAAAAGCTGTAAGACATGGTAAAATTTTTTCCTAATAAGTTGATTATATCAGATACTTGTTATAGTAGCAGAAAGTTAACTCATTACCAAAAAATAAAAAGAAATTTAAAAAAAAACTGCTTTGAAAATTGTAATGGAAAAGCATTTTGGTCAAGTTTACAGTGGGCAAAAATAATTCTAAATACACCATTCCTAGAATAAAAATATAATTATGAAATCAGAATAATTTCACAGAAACACCCAACAGTATCAAATGGCTTTTTAGAAAACTTTAGCATCTTATTCTTAGTTATATCTAGAATTGCTTTTTCCTTCATTCATCTACTTTTTAAGAATATGACACACACAGAAAAAAAGAAAGAGTACATGAAGTTGTCGGGGAAAAGTGATGGGGAGATATGGGATGAGTTGGAGGGGAGGGAGTGGGCGTGGATTTGATCAAAACACCTTATATGCATGCGTGAAATTCTCAATACTTTTTAAAAGTTAATAAAAAATAAAAATTAAAGAATATGTCATAAAGTAAATGCTGTTTCAATTTCTATTTCCACTTACCAAACAATTTTAAATATTAAGCAGAAGGAAAGAAAATATTTAATTGATTTCATTTACTTCCTGTTGTTTGCTTCCAATTTTGTAAGATATCTCTTATTATTTATAGCTATTTATGAAAATTTATTAACCATTCCACCAGGATTAATCTACTAGAGACAAATTCTTTTCACTTTATTTCATCAGAAAATGACTTGACTTCACCCTAACTCTTAAAGTGCATTTTTACTGATCTATCTGTTTCGGAACTGACAGCTCTTTGGGGACCTGAAACTCATGTCACTTACTTATTTTAGTAGCTGAAAACTGTAACATTACTTCTGCCTCCTGGGTTCCTGATGGGAGAGCCACTGTCATTCAAATTGTTACACCAGGATAAATGTGATGGGTTGTTTTCTTTCAGTACTTTCAAAATGTTATTGATATTGCCTCTAGTTTTTAGGAGCATGACAGCAACCTGTCTGGCATAGATTTTGCTGATCTGACATTGAACTTCCCAGAATTTCTTGATTCTACACATGTGCTAACTTTGGGAAATTTTTGCTTTTAACTTTTTTTTTTTTAGCTCCATATTCTTTTCCTTCTTTTACTGAAAATTTTCATGCCAAATTTTCTACATAAATAAAATAGTGGGACTGGAGCGATGTCTCAGCGGTTTAGAGAACTGGCTGCTCTTACAGAGGACCCAGGTTCAGTTCCTAGCACCCATATGGTGGCTAACAACCATCCTAACTCCGGTTCCAGGGTATTCAACACCCTCTTCTCACCTCCACAGGCATTGCACGATATGGGTGCACTTACACATATGCAGGCAATACACTCACACACATAAAATTTTAAGAAAATAAATAAAATATTTAAAAAGCAGTTCTTTTACCATTTTTTAATGTACTTTATTTTCAAATATATGTTTTCAGCACTTTTGTTAAAAATTGGGTGGCTGTAACTGTGTGTTAATTTTGGGGTCCTGTATTTTATTCTATATATTTGTGTTTGTATCAGAACCATCCGGTTTTTGCTACTGTGGCTCTACAGTACAGTTAGAGGTCATGTAACATCTCCAGTATTTCTCTTTCTGCTTAGAATTGCTCCTTAGAATTGCTCTAGCTAGTCAGGGTCTTTCATGCTTCTATATTAACTTTAGGATACTTTTTCTATATCTGTGAAGGGTGTTATTGGGATTTAATGGGAATTGTATTGGATGTATATATTGCATTCAGAAATATAACCATTAGTACATTTGATTATATTTTATTATAGAGGTCTTTCACTTCCTCGGTTAGTTTTATTCCTATGTATTTTTTTAAGTTGTGAGTTTGATTTTTTTTCTGATTTCATTCTCAGCAAATTCATTACTTAATGGAGAGAAGCTATTATTTTTATATTAATATTGTATCATGTCACTTTAATGAAAATGTTTATCACATCTAAGAGTTTTCAGGTGAAATATTTAGAACCTCTTTAAGCATAGGATCAAGTCATCTGCATATATTGATTCTCTGACACAGAGAAAATATGCTTCTTTAAAGATTATTAATATTGTTATCATCATTTTGAATTTATTTATTTTTAGGTCAAGACACTGAGGAGGCAGGGAGCTCTATGTCTACTCTGGAGAGGTCCCTGGCAGCACGCCGTGCCACCCGGGCCAAGCTCATGATTCCCATGGAGGCCCAGTCAAATAATCCTGGTCAGTAAAACTTGGTGCTTTACTTTACCTTATTTCTACACAATATCAAATCATCAGTAAATACTTACATGTTGAGTGAATATTCTAGGCAAATAAGAGTAACTGAACACTGATGTAAGTCATACCATTTATTCTTTACTGGGCAATCATTTTTTTTTATACTTTCAGTTTTAGCAAATAGATGGTTACAATTCAAGAAATTATTTGTGTTAATATGAATTTGTAAAAAATATACTGAGATATGTATCAATATGATTGACCTGATTCTATATCATCATCATAGCATAATTTTTGTAGGCCTGATTTTCATACTTAATTAATCTAGCTCTGTTGAACCGTGTGTTATCAGACTAGCCCTCTGTGATGAAGGCTTCTGTCTCCCTCCTGCATTCACTGAAGAAATTAGTGTCTGGGGATCACTTCCTTTCCAATTACCTCTGTGATCAATCTTGGTAATTACACTATTCATGCAGATAATCCATCTGATGCCCTGAACTGTTAGTTCCTTTATGTTACCTGCAATGATATTGGCTCCTTCCCACCTCAATTCATCAGTTCCATGTCACACCAATCCAATACAAAGTGTCAGTCTCTATCATCCTTCTTTCTAGCTCCTTATTATTACTTTTTTGCACACTTGGTTTATAGCCCCCCTGCCAACCGTTCTTCCATCCATCTGGGACCTCCAATTCATTAGTCATAATCCCTCTGCATCCCAACTCCTTCATATCCTTAATTCTCTCCAAACTAAACTTAGTCTATAGTCATTTATTCTGTTCTGTCTCATCTTTTTTGCTCCTCTTTCCCCCTTGTGCTGGATAGCTTTAGTGTCAACTTGACACACCTGGGTTGAGGAGCCTCAATTGGGGAATTTCCTCTATTGGACTGGCCTATAGCCATGTCTGAGGGGCATCTTCTTGATGAGTGATGTGGGAGGGCCCAGCCCACTGTGGGTGGTGCTACCCCTGGGCAGGTGGGCCTGTGTTGCATAAGAAAGCAGGCTGAGCAGGGGCCAGGGGAGCAAGCCAGTAAGCAGTGTTCCTCCGTGGCCTGTACTCCAGCTCCTGCCTCCAGGTTCCTGCCCTGAGTTCCTACCTTGGGCTCCCTGATGAACTGTGACCCAGGAGATGTAAGATAAATAAACTCTTTCCTCCCCAAGTTGGTAGTGGTCAGAGTGTTTTGTCACAGCAATGCAGAACAAACTAGGACACCCCTCTTACTCACTTGAATAAAAATTAAACCATGGTTAATTGACCAACTTCACTAGTTTGTACTCTGCTTCCTAACAATCAAATGTTCCTAGAGAACAATGTTGAGCCTACATACTGGGTATATATGGCCCCAAGTCCAAGGTTACCACTCATCTCTGAAGAGGAATGACACTCATTTATACTGATTTTTAGAGTTCCATGGACTCTCATTCTTTTTTGTTGTTTTGTGATTTTATTTATTTATGTATTTATTTATTATTTTTATTTATTTTGACAGGGCCTAACAAAGTAGCCCCAACTGGCCTAGAATCTACTATGTAGAACTTCCCAGGCTGGGATTAAACTTGTGTGTCACCAGGCCCTGCTAGCTTTCACCATTATTTATTAATAATCTTCCTTAATTCCTGGGATGTAGTCCAGAGTTTTTGCCTAGCATACATGAAGTCTTGGGTTAGATCACCAACACCAAAACAATGATAATGATAATAATAAATATTCTTTGTTCCTTATCTGACCAAGGAAAAGAAATACCAAGAAAATGATATTCTATTTGATGCTGTGCTACCATATAAGGTCATATTGTCAACCCTGTCTCCCATTTAGCGACTCTCCTGTGATTACCCACTTCCTGTCCTCAGCATCAATTTCTCTCTTTACTAGTCACTCCAATAAGTATACAAACATTTGCATAATCCTAATATTAAAAAACTCTCTTGAAATCACTTTTCCCTCCAACTAAAGTTCCTCACTTTTACAAAAAAATTAAAAGTACGCTTATTCTCTCTTTCTAAACTTTATCAATTAGACTTGATTAGAATTTTTACCTGCTATATTGAAACCATGGTGGCCAAAGTTCTCAATATGAATATTCACAGTCACATCAAATAGTCAGCTCTCAGCAGAATATGACTTAGATTGTGTGTGTGTGTGTGTGTGTGTGTGTGTGTGTGTGTGTGTGTGTGTGTAGTGTGTCTGTGTGTAAATGTTTTCCTCCATTCCCCCTGGGCTTGTAATCTGTTAAATACATCGAGCTTTCCTTCTTTTTCGCACTTGTTCTCACTCCTCCTCATCACTGACTCACCCCACTTCAGCCAGACTTTGTAAGAGTGAAGGCATGGCTTTCTGCTCTGTGCATCTGCTCTGTCTACACTAACATTTCAGATAATGTTACCTAGTATCGATAATGTTCCCACTTCCCATTATTACCTTGATGTGATCTAAATGCTTGTGGATCACAGACTATATCTCCAGCCTCATCTCTTCCCAGAATCTATCTGAACTATTTTATCAGCTGTTCACTCAGCTTCTCCAAATGGCTAACAGGTACGTGAGCTATGATCAAATCTGTGATCTTGCTTTTCTCTAGTTCCCTCTTCCATCTTTAAAACTGAGTCGTGTACAGTTTTTCCCATTGCAAGAAATACACTATTCATCCATTTACTCTGACCAAAACACTAGTGTTATGCTTCTGTTTTATCTTAAACATGTATTAATTTATGTGTATATGTGTATGCACATGTATTTCTCTGGGTGAGTGTGCTAGTGTGTCTACCTGTGCATGTACAGAGGCTAGAAGAAAGCACTGGATACCTCAGAGCTGGAGCTACAGGCGCTCTGGGAACACAAAGTTTGTTGCCTGAGTGCTAGGATTCAAGCTCTGCTCCTCATGATTGTGCAGTAAGTGCTCTTCACCCTGAGTCACCTCTCCAGCCCCATCATCCTTCCTTATTCTGAGCTCAAATCTCAAACTCATTGTTTCACCACATCCTATATGTACTTCCTAGTTTCATAATATTTGTCTGATTTCACCTCTGCTAAATATCTTTACTGCTTTAGAATAATCCAAGTCCATACCATTGCTTATGAATGTCTACATTCATGTATGACAATGCACTTATACTCATCCCTCTAGATGTGTATTTCAGTGTTTTAATTTATGTATTACATCATCACATTTCCCGTTAAATGTAGAACAATAATTTTACCATGTTCCACAAAGTTTCACGTGGTCCAGCCTCTGTGCTTATCTCAGACTTACCTCTCCACACTCCTCTCAACATGTGTTTTCTCTGCCTGGAGTGTCTCTTCACCCCCCCATCCCTCCTCCCATCCTCCTCCATGTTCTAATACAATGTCCCACAGTTTTATTATAATATATACAAAACCAAATGCATGCTTGGCATTAACAATGAATACCAGATGACTGACCCCTGGAGGAGATACTATCCTTATGCCTAATGAACTGATAAGAAAACTAAGGATCAGAGAAGCTAAGTAATTGGTTTACACAAATAGTAATTATAGTCAGAATTAGTGCTCTGAAGACTGCTTAATATTTCATGAAGCTACTCTCCTCTGTCCTGCATTCCTCTCACTAGAGTGAGGCTGTTCTTAGCTGCCTTTTTTTCTAGACTCTAGTTGCCTTCATGTTAGTAACAAACTTCTATTAGAAGTTACAAACACTTAATAATACCACTTTGCTTCAGAATGTTTAGAGGGCCTTTAGTCCCATATGTAACTGCCCTACCCAGTGAGTTCCACACCACACTGATTATCCCTTTCACAGTGTCTTTTGGATACTTGACTACTCCCCCATTTCTGTCATCTTGTTTTTTCTCCACACATGTAACCTATCCAGACAACCCTATAACTAATCATCATGTATCTAGCATATTCAAGACTAATGCATCCTTCTTTGATAAAAGCATGTTGAACCCCATAAATTTCTCCAATAACTCCATTGTCTGCCAAGGATAAATAAGAAATAAGCGAACACAAAACTACAGACTACTCACTTTATCAGATGTAAGCTGGTTTCTCATTGCTACATCCTTATGCAGACCCGCAGCTCTTGCCAAGCAAGACTAACTTTTAGTCCATATATATGCATTCCCCTTCAATCCATTTTCTTCTGTGTCTTTAGGGTAACTCAATAGAGAGCTATGCCTAACAAAATTGTATGTGTTTTCAAAGATCAGGGCAAATATGGATGCTGTGATAAATGCATGTCAGGTTACTTCATCTAGAAATGATGGCTCCATTTTTTATATCTGAATGGCAGTGTATATACCTCTCTGTGGCATTTATCACACAGAATACTATCTTATATGCTTAGATATTCAAGCCAAAATCTTCTCTAGCAGGTTCTGAATTACTTCATGATAGTTAGGTAATGTAACTAATCTATCTTCATATCCACACACTGTATAGCTTACTACCTTGCAAAAATTGGTGCTCACTAAATATTTGTCAAATGAACAAATGAATGTGTAGGGGAGTTATAAGAATGCCTTCCTTGTGTTGGTAACAGATTTGTGTTCAAAGGCTCATTTTTTTAATCAGTTATTGACAGAGACACTACAAAACTTTACAACGCATTAAAGCATTTGAAATTGTTTCTAAGTCTGAAGCAATGAGTTTAAATAGAAAGAAGTAAAACTTTTGACTGTCCTTCATTTGTCAAATAATTTAATAATTATCATTTCATCTAATCCCCATGTTACTACCATGGGTTGAGACTGTCCTGATAGGATACAAGGAAAATGGACCCCGACTGCTTCAAAGATGTTCCACAGGACACAGCTGCACATCCTCTCAACCCCTAGCATGTACTGCTCTTTCATAGCTAGAGATGGCTTTTATGCTTGTCGTTATTCACATCATATTTAATTTTTCTTTATTTGTTTTAACAACTTTTTAGATGAATCATATGCAATTTATAAACATAGAAACAGGCTGATCCCAACTCTACCTGCCTGATGTGCCATATCATGTTCTTTTCTAGAGTCT